TATATATATATATATATATATGTAATTATATTATTACGCTTGTTTCTTTCTCTCTCTATGTTATGTTACATTTCAACAAATAGTAACAATAATTATTCCGTCAAATTTTTTTTCGTAAATATATCCACATCATGAGTTTAAAACTAATTGTTTTTTAAGTTACAATCTCAATTTTTACCTGGCGATTTTGAACAAAGCGCAAGTGTGTAGAACAAACAGTATAAGTAACGTTGCGACAGCCACTATTGTGAAACAGCCAAAATATAAAGTTACTATGATAAACATCATAATGCCGTAAAAGTGCGTCTCTTCGTTAAGAAAGTAATCCGCCACAATTAGCGTCTGCCGTGGTCGAGATTCGTTTTTCGGGACGATTACGTCGAGCATACACGGCATACAGAACAGCAGAAACAAACCCACTATGGTAACAATGATCAAAGCTGAAGCACACGATTTATGTGTGTTTAAAGAAAAACGCGAAAAATTCAAGAATTATTAGAACGTTTACTTTACGTCTCATTGCGTTACGTAAGATTTTTTTTTATTGTAAGAGAGATCTCACAGAGATACTTTCAATTAAAACAATCTACGTACGTAACGTGCGTTAAAAAATTAATATTAATACTTGGTTTTATAATTCTTACACGCAAACTGAATCGTGTATAATCTCGCGTTGCTCGCGTATCTTTGTATTATCTCCAGTTCCGCCTGAATCTTCAACGTGTCCCAGTCATATCGGATTATCTCGAAGATGTATTTAATCTGGAGACACACACACACGAGATGTATTTATTTTGTTTTGTAAATTTTTTCCAATGTTTTCGAAATCTACAAACACAAGCGAGAAATGTACTCACACGATCGGAGAACAAGAGCCACGCGTTGTATTTCGTAATAAAAATAGTATCTATAACAACATACATGGAAACTTTCAGGACAAGATCAATGTTGTATTGTTTCACGAAAAATGTATTCAACTGGAAACACAGTAAGCGGATTATGTCGAATGATCGCGCCGCGCGTGAGAATATTAAAAATTGCGTGAAAAAAAAAAAAAAAATTGAATTATTATGTAAAACACTGTTTAAAACGTTAAATTGTGAATATCGAAACAAAGTACCTGGCACACCAGAAAGGAGAGGAATAACGTTTGAAAGAAAACTATCTGAAGCTTCTTCAGGATCGGACTCTGATACGGCCACAGACCGAGACACAGCAGGAGAATTTTGTTCAGTTTGTAGTAACGTTCGCCTACCAAGTCCATTTCCGGTCGGAGTCGAAGTGCGTGTGACGGGAATCGACGGGACGAAGCTGCGCTTCCCCCTCCAAGTGTCGTAAGCGAACATGTGCGCGGCGAACGTTTTATTTTCTCTATTCGATACGGCATAATTTGCCGCAACGACAAATGCGGGGAATTTACGAAGCGTCGAACCGGAAAGAAGCGATTGAGAATCAATTTTTCTCGATTTTATACTCGAGAATGTAGATCATAAAATTATCAAACGACGGTACAATACAATAATGTATTTGTTTTTTTAGGAAAATAAAAATTTTGTCTTTGAACAAATGCGTCTTCTCACGTGTCGACACTAGTGTAAAGATCGAAGGAACAATGCAGACGGCTGTTAATGATCCGAGCTGCGTTTGTAATATATCACATTTGTGTTTTCAATATGGATTATAAACAACAAATGTAAAAGAGTACGTATACATAATAGAAAATTATATATTATCCAATATACAGAATCACATTGTTACGCAGTCACAGACATAATTATGTATGTATTATGTTAACACACACAACATGAAATTTTTTATAACACAGAGAAGGTTTTGAGAGACAATTATTTAAGAGACAAATTATTTGAGAGATAATTATTAAACACGAAACAATCAAATAAATTAATCTAAACTTATCTCTAACAACGATTTGAAATCTAAAACATTTAAACGAATGAATAGTGAAGGCTCGTGAAAATTGAAACTAAGAATGAAAAGGCCAATACGAGAGAGAGCCGTTCCCAGAATGTTGTGCAGGAATAAGCGTGCATGTATATATATGTATACACATGTATGAATTCACATGTAAATTATTTTCTACATGTGGGTTTTTTGAATTGAAATTTCAATTCTTAAAATCATATAAGATGCTAGATTTGCATCTCATATATGAGAGATTCCAGATACCCCCCCAACTAATTTGAAAATATTGCGAAAAAAAATTTCAATTCAAAAAACCCACATGTAGAAAATAATTTACATGTGAATTTATACATGTGTATATATATATATATATATATATACATGCACGCTTATTCCTGCACAACATCCTGGGAACGGCTCGTATTGGCCTTTTCATTCTTAGTCTAAAACATTTAAACTCGACGATAACGTGAAAAAAATAATCGACACAAACTATACACAAATTACTCGGAATACATCACGGAACACATTACCGTGAAGTAGGATATCGACATGCTCGCGATCTGCAAATGTTATTGTATTTGATTTCAGATTAAAAAAATTGAAATAGCGCGAGGTGCGCGATTAACAATTGCGTTAATTACCGTGGAGAAACCCTTGAGCGAGATTATGAATATTCCGCCGAACACGACGGAAAAGTTTTTCGTAGTTCTTTGCATCACAAACAGTAGTAACCTCTGCGCGCGCACCGGCGCCGCATACCAAAACGAGTGATATCTATACAGTTTAAATATCTATACAGTTTTGTAATTGTAAAATATATTCCACGTGTCCGTGTTTTGTCTGACACTTTGACGTAAATCTCAGTCAAATACTGTTATTTGTTAAATAACAAACATAATTTTTGTCATTACAACGCTACTTACGTCATGTCGAACACCTCGGCGAAGTGATCGATGATTATCTGACCGGCGTAATTTCCAACGTACAAATACAAGAATTGCACGCCGATAAACATGAAGTTCGTAATCAGTTCGCTTATGTCATGCGTGACTAACGCGATGAAAATCTAAAGAAACATTCATTTAGAAAAGAAACTCAAGAAATAATGCTGCGTGTTATTGACGCAAAAATAGATCGATCAAAATCGATCTTTGGAAGATTATTCTCACCTGAAACATGTTAAGAACTAACGAACCCACGCCAGAAGCGATCACAAGAAAATAAGGTATACGGAAATTGGAGAAGATTAACTCTGAAAAGCTTTAACAATACGAGATTTGAAATTTGTGCTAAATTATTCAATCAATATATATATACACTCAACTTTTGCAAATATTTGAATCGGTTATTTTATACACACACACACAAACTCTGTATATACATATACATATGTGTGTATATATATACAGGGTGTCCCGGAATGACTTTAACATCTCTCGTAGGCAGGTAGAAGAAGTAAAACTGAGTCGAAAAGTCCTGAACCATTTTTTTTTATTATATGTAATAAAGGAGTAATTATTGAATAAATCAAGCCAATCAGCGCCGACCTTTAGCTGAACGCACGTCAGTGAACCACGCGCCTGGTGTGCGTGAGCGCTCCGCGCGGCTAAAGATCGGCGCTGATTGGCTTGATTTATTCAATAATTACTCCTTTATTATATATAATAGAAAAAAATGGTTCAGGACTTTTCGACTCAGTTTTACTTCTTCTACCTGCCTACAAGAGATGTTAAAGTCATTCCGGGACACCCTGTATATATATATATACACATATATATATTGTATGTATATGTATATGTATATACAGGGTTTGTGTGTGTGTGTATAAAATAACCGATTCAAATATTTGCAAAAGTTGAAGTATATAAAAAAATTCTTCATACAAAAAATATTTAACACATGAGAAGGACGTCGTATGATGGAAACAATTTATTTGCAGATGGAGATATTAAAGTCATTTTAAGATCTAGTTTTTTAAAAATAGAATCGACTTAATTTGTTTATATAAATCGATTTTTCGCGATATATTCGGTGTAAACTAGATTAACTTTAAAATCTTTTTAATACCTTCACATAAAAAAAATCTGAATCATACGACGTCTCTCTGTAGTAAATATTATTTGTATAAAGAATTTTTTTTTATTTTCAACTGGAAGTATTTATATCAATCACTTTATTTATACAAATTACTTTGTATACACGCACGCGCATATATATGTATATATGTGATACTAACTTAATGGCATCTCGATGGATGAGCACTCCGCTGATTATTCTCTCATAAACTGCATAATCTTTCGAAGACGGAACAGTATCTTCAAACACCGCATCCCCGATACGATAGCTGTAGATGTGTGTAATTCAGAGACGATCAGGTCGTTAAAAATCGAGAAAATTGATTAATTTTTTTTTTTTACTCGAACTGTCTTTAGTTTCGAAAAACTAAAAAACCAGTTCAAGTGCTGCTTGGATTCAAATGTTACTTGTGCTGTGTTTTTAAGTCAATTTCAACAAATGAATTAAATTTAAATAAATTTAAAACACGCGTATACGTGAAAATACGCAATCTTTAACGTGCACATTTCGTTACATTACCCGGCGATTTTGAACATCGCGGATGCGTGCGTCATGTACGCCAGGAGCATGCAACCAGCGCTCAGCACCATAATAGATCCCAGCGACAGAGTCAGAATGGTGTGCGTCAAGATCGGAAAGAAATATTGGTTCTCATTGACGGGATACTTCGTCAGGATGTAGAAACGCCGCGGTCGCGATGAATTCAGCGGCGACACCACGTCCTGAATTATTGGAAACATGTGGCCCACCGTTACGATCATTATGCCGAAAGAGAAAATGTCTGCGATCATAAGCAAAAATCATTTCTCGCTCGTACATTTGTTTGTTTGTTTTTTTTTTTTTTTAGATCGAAATGGGTACTTCTTCTTACGCAGCGCGATGATCGTGAGCTGCCTGATCAATCTGGCGTATTTTTTCAGTATCGCTAATTCCTGCTCGTTCTGTATTACGGTCCAGTGATGCCACATCAGATCCATAAGGTGCTTCATCTGCGCGCACACACACATACACACACACACACACGAATGCGCAGTTTTTTTTTTTAGATCCCCCGACCGATGAACGAATTGCACGCGACGAAAAAAGACACACTGACTTACTTTCTCGCTGTTGAAGAAGAAGGTGACGTGCTTCAAAACGACCACCATCATCGGAAGAACGATCGATAGCACTTTCATGACTAGGTTTATAGTGCACTCCGCGTCGATGAACGTCGTGAACTGTAACGTTAGTTTTTTACTGTTACCGCGTAACGTCGTATCTCTCAACGATTTTACGCTTGATTGACACGCGCATAGAAATTCGAATCAGATATATTCGGTTCGCGAAGCTAACTTAATACCTGAAGCGCTATGAACGACAACACAACCGAGAGAAAGAATCCGGCTTTGATGCGCCGAATGAAACTCGATCTCTGATAGGGCCACAATCCGCACGCGAGCAAGAGCATTCTGTTTACGTTGTAGTACTTACTCGCAGGTCCGAACATTTCTCTCCGAGAGTCGAAAATCGACTGCGAGGAAGATCGCAGCGAGGATCATTATTTCACTCCTCCCGCGACGGCGCATTACGCATTCTCTCCCTCGCGCATTTTTTTTTTTTTTTTTTATTTTCACCGCGAAAAGCCGAATGTCTTCTCGATGAGAGCGAGAAAATTGCGCGTAATAATTTAATGAGGCAAATAGCCGCAGACGCGACGAGAACAATTGCGACTCCGATTATGTGAGGTCCCTGGTTTTAATCGACGGCGTGTTTCTTTAAAGTTTTTTTTGTTTTTATTATTTCTCAGATATCGCACACGAGAGGTCGTCGCACTTTCATTTTAAAATGCAAAATAAGTCGCGCGATATATCCTGTAACAATACCTGAACGAATACAGATAACGAAAGACAACCAACAGTTATTTAGCTCAGCAACAAAAAAAGTATATCGTTAAGTATTTTTAACAGATAAACCACGAAATATTGTTGTCTCTTTTATCTTGCGTTTCCGCCGCCCTTTGATGTTTCTTTTTCGTAAAAACACCGCCGCTCGTCCGTTTGTATGAAAGTGACATTTATATTCAACGAACATTTTTACGTTTACACACACGCGCGAGTATTTTGCTCGTAATTGTTTGCTCGACTCATCAGTCTGAATCAAATTTGTGCAACATATTATAAATTATTCGTTTCTGTGGGATTTGTATTTTTATCGCTGCGTAGAGTAGATTACCGTGAAGTAAGACATCGACATACTCGTGAGCTGAAATTGCGAATTGAA